GCAGATTTTACAGCCTGACCTACAATTAGATTCTGCTGGGAATCCTAGGAGAATTGATCCAGCCAATTAAGTCAGGAAATTGCTCTCTAAATTTAACATGTCCGTCAATCTCATCCAAAATGGCAGCATTGATTTGGTGGGCTGAGGCTTTGAGGTTATCTTTATTTAATACAGCAAAAACTATATTAGGCTTCTCCCACCTCACAGATTTGCCTGTTTCTCAATTTTGATTTTATTAAACTCAGCAGTATAAATATCTCACAAAATAATTCTCATCAACACTCTCCCTCTGGACTCACACCCTGGAGCTATTGCCTGGAAGAGATGTTAAAGGAGCAGGCAGAACTCTCTCCTGTTTTGTTGCCTTTGGTGTACCTTACGACCCCACTTGTGAATTTGCTTATCCCCAACATCTTTTCCAAAAAGGGTGTAGGGCAATGTATGTGTACACTGTACGTAGATTTCTACTCCACAAATGGAAAGATATCATCTATTAAAGATAAGGCTACTTGGGGCATTTCCTCTGCCTTGAGAGACCATCTGCCACCCTGGTGCATTGCTCAGATTGCCTAGACCATGCAAGAGGAGCCCACGCACAGATGCACAGAGACATTTGGAGACTGGATATCATCTTTAATTAATAATGCCACAGCCCAATGTCTTTTATGTTGCTGTAGCAAATTGTGATTGTGTGTGTGTGTGTGTGTGTATGTGTGTTCCTGAACAGATGAAGGGCCAGAAGAGACTCCCAAGCAGGTCTCAGCCAACAACTTTGTCGAGCAGCAACTGGAAGACAGTCTCCATAGAGGCACGGAGGCCAGACTTCTGCCTCCGATGGCATTGAGCCTCTCTCCTGGGCCACCTTTCGTGCATTGAGGGCAAGGCTGAGGCCTGTACCAGCCCAGATTAAAGGACTTCTAAGCATAGGCCAGCCTCCAGTTCCCAGTACTCACTGCCTCTGACCAGAGGGATGCCCTGGGTAGAGTATAGACTTCCAGGCAGAGGTGGACAACCTGCGCTGACCTTGGTCCCGTGTCACACTGGGGCAGCACCACAATGGCCCAGCCCTGGCAGAAAATCCAGAGCTACGTAGGAGCCACTTGATTGATTACTTTCAGAGATCATCAGGACGTAGCACAGGCCGTTTTTGGGGCCAGCTGGAGAAGGCCAGGCTCAGCTTGAGGGGGCCACAGGAAGTTGTTTCCAACCCAAACCTAAAAGCCTGCCTTCTTGCCATCTCCATTCTTCAATTCCTCAAATGCCCAGTACGTCCACAGCCCAGGCATCGCAGCATAGGGTCAGCGTGACAGTGGGTTGCAAGATAACCATGAGAGACCTGGGCTGAACTGGACCTGCAGCCATATGCCAGCCTGAAGCCAGCCCTCTCCCCCATGGTCAATGCCAGCCAGAGCTCTCTGAAGCTGGATGGGACCACCCACAGGCAAGGCAGCAAGTTCTTGGCCTAGTGCAGAGCGAGAAAACCAAACTGGCTCCACTGTCCCATCTCCACCTGCTCTGTGCCTTAGGAAGGCAAGGAGCCCAAGTCCCCAGGATGGCAGTATCAGCTGTTGGGGAAGCACCGTTGTCCAGGTGAGGCCTCGGGCCGGAAGCTATGTTTGTTCAGGGGGCTTGGGTAGTAGGTAGTCGTGTACACATTGGTCTGCTGCAATGGGTAGAAGTTGGCTCTGTCATCAGGGATCAAGTTATTCTTGTTCAGGGTCTGTGGGAAGAAGAAGAAACCAGAGAAAGGGGTGAGGGAACACACAAGGGAAGGGAACAAGTCAGGGCAAGGAGTCCAGAAGCCAGTCGTGAAAGCACACTCAGACTGCAGATCCAGTGCTCTGTTCACACCACCACTGCCCAGTTCCACCCAGCTGAGGGCCAGAACCCCTGCGCTCTTCACCCTGCCCTCCTACCCTGCCCTCTTCTTCTACAAGAAGGCTCCCACCTTGAACTCCATGGGTGTGTACTTTTCATTCTTCGGCGTGCCTCCACCCTTGTAGTGCAAGTGGTTGGGGGTGGCAGGATGGACCAGTGTGGACTCCTGGGACTGACGCTGGCAGTGCTGGCAAGACAGGTACACTGCCAGGGTCAGGAGCCCAGAGCCCAAGAAGCAGGAGACGCCCGTGGCCACCAGGTGGATGAGATTGAACCCTGGGGGAAGAGAGGCAGGTAGTAAGATAAGGGCCACTGTGAAGAGGACAGACTCCTGCCTGCCTCCCTGGGAGCAGAAACAGCAACAGGAGGCTCTGAGGCATCCTGGAAAGGGCTCTGAGGCCACAGCCAAAGGAAACGGGGAGGTTGGGGAGGCTGTCACTGGGGACCTCTTTCACAAGGCACCCTGTGGCTCAAGTCAGAAGTGGCAACCAGAGGGTCTAGAGTCAGATGACAGGATACAGACTTATCATGGCCTCCTAGCTGGGGGGCATGGAGGGAACTGCCCACACCACCCTACACACTATCTCAAAGCAATGGGGACCCCAACAAAGCTTGGCTGTCTGGAGCAGGATGTGGAAAGAGTCCAGACTTTGGAGTGGAGTGCTGGAGGGCTGGGAGGACCGCAGCATGAGGTGGGGCCGGTTTCTTTTACCTGCACAGTCGGTGGCCTCCTCCATGCCGGAAGCTGGCAGGATGACTGCAGGAAGACCAGTGGACAGGGTGTCAGGGGCAGAGACGAGAGGAGGGTAGGCGCAACCCTGGGAGGATCCCTAGGTCAACACTCAGCCGTACAACTGGGCATGGGGCCTTCATTCCCCTCCCTCTCTCCCCAGACCCCACCTCTGAGAAGGGCTAGCCCATTCACTGGATGAGGAGGGCCCAAACCCCAAATGTATGCATAAAGGCAAATATGGGAGTTCTCTTTCGGCATCTCCTTCCCACCTCCATGTTTCATCCTGTGCCCCCCGTTCCCCACCAGGACACAAGCTTCAGAAGGAGAAGGAAGTTGGGAGTGTAGGCTGGGAAGGGTTGCTGTGCTGGTGCTGGCAGGGGGACCCACCAGGAATCTCGCTGTAGGGGCAAGGGCGGCTCTGGCTGCTGTTTCCAGCACAGGCGCTGGGCCCTGGGAGGAGCTCCTCACAGTGTCGGCTTCGGCTCTGGGCTCCGTCCTCAGTGCACGTACTCCACTCAGACCAGGGCGACCAGCCTTCTGGGGGTTGTGGGTAGGATAAGGTTAACTGCCCAGGGACCCCCTGGTGGGGATCAGAGGGCTTCATGGCGTTTCCCAGCCCCGGCGGGATGTGCCTCGTACCTGGGCAGGCCTGTGTGGCACATAGTGCCTCCTCCGTGTGCAGCCCGAGACAGATGTCCTCACCTGGGGAGGGTGCAGGGCTGGTGCAGGAACGTGTGCGTTGATAGTGACCCCCACCACAGGAAGCTGAGCATGGAGACCATGAGGTCCAGCAGGACCAAGCACCCCGAACTGCAAGGGGACGGGGTGTGTCAGGCGCTGTAGGGGCAGGCAGGGCCCGAGACGGTCTTCCACCCCATACCAGGCCAGGCCACTCTGCCCTGAGCCACAGTGACCTCAACATCCACCTGATCCACCCGCTACCCAACAATCCACTGTTAGGGAGTGCCCCCACCCCATGCGGCAGGTGAGGGACACGCGGGAAGCAGCAGAGACACCCGGAGGGAGACAGACCGACTCCACCTCCAATCAAACTTCTTACCTGTCTAACTCATTAAGAAAAGTGAAAAAAAAACCCAACAAAAAAACCCAGGAGGATAAGTTGAGGCCCTACTCCACCGGAGTAGCCATTGCATCTATGGCCGGGGCAGAAATTTGCTCTGGGGGTCCCTAGCACAGAGATGTCAGGGAGAAGGAGTCACCTAGGCATGAGGGCTCCTGGGTAGGCCTGGGGCGGGGGAGGGGGGCCTCCAGGATAACAGGGTTTCCCTGGGCCAAGGATTCCTTCCGTGCAGGGTTACCTGGGCAAGCCTGGGGGTTGCAGTCCTGGTACTCGGCAGCATCGCCCACGCAGGGCAGGCCCCCGTTGCGGGGCTCCGGGTTAGTGCAAGTTCTCTTGCGGACGCGGAAGCCTAGCTCGCAGTCCCGGGAGCAGGACGACCACGGGCCCCAGGCGGCCCAGCCCCCGCTCA